TGAATGTTAAATCAGATATATGGTTCTTGTTGATTCACATTATTATTGCAGCAAGATTAGCGTATGCGCAGGAGTGGAAAAATCAATACTTACCAATAGATTTGAAAATAATATATAAAATTAATGAGTGTGCGGAATCAGATAGATTAACTAGATTGATCAATGGTAAAAAAGATTCAGAATTTTATAACAGTTGGAAATTATGGTACGATTGGGTCCAGAAAAGGTGGGATAGAATAGATATATGATGATGTATATATATATGATGGCAAATATGTATGTATAAAGGAATGACTTTATATTTATGGACAATGTAATCACATTATACCATGGTGGCAGGATTGTATATTTTATTGGTGTATTGGTGTATAGAATATATTAATAAAAATTATTTTAAAAAAAAAGAAAATTTATCCAAAAGGTGTATATAATATATAAGTGGTACTTACAACCAGCGAGATTAGCAAAAATGTTTAAAAATATGTCCACCAAATGTTGGAAATGTAATCACAAACCGGGCACATACTACCATCTGTGGTGGACATGCCCAAAAGCAAAAAGATTTTGGGCGAAAATGCGTATGCGGTTAGAAAAGAATGTTAAGACAGCATATAGATTTTAAGCCAGAACTATTTTTGTTAGGCATAATAGCAGAAAAAAATGACAAAGAGAATGTATATTTGATATTGCATGTTTTAACAGTGGCAAGAATTGCATTTGCACAACATTGGAAACGCAAGGAAACACCTACAGAAGAAGATGTAATTCAAAAAATATTGGAATGTACAGAAATGGACAGATTAACACTGAAGATAAAAGAAAAAGAATACTTTTGAACTTGGAACTTATTTTATTAATGGTTCGACAACAGAGGTAGAAATTAGGAGATTGAGATGTAAATGAATTGACCCAATCAGTACACTGTTCTTTAAGCACATATTGTATGCAAAGGGAAAAAAAAACAATAAAAAAAAATAAAAAAAATACATGCCAGTTGCCAAGCATCCCCATTTTGATCACATGACCACGGGGATGCTGCAACTGTCATAACTATGAAAAACGGTCATAAGTCACATTTTTCAGTGCTGTTGTAACTTTGAATGGCCACTAAACAAATGGTTGTAAGTTGAGGACAATCTGTAATTAATTGTTTTGATTTTATGGTGAGACACTGTGGTTTTTCCAATATCCTGGAACTATCCTAAACATTCCAACATATTATCTATATCAATGCAAAGCTTATATATTTGAACGTTCGGTATTCATTTCAGAATTTTTCAATCTAATGTTGCTTTAGTCTCCGTATTTGCATTTTTCTACCATTCTTATAATTTGTCAATTGGACTGAATACTTTCCCCCTCAAAAGCTTATGCTGCAAATTATATTAAGTGACATTACGCAGGCCATTTTAATAAGAAAGCTAACAATTCTATATTTAGTACAAAATTGGAAAATCTGAACTAACAGTTCAGGATGTAAGGTACAATGGAAATATACCTGTTCTGTATATATACCTGCTGCATATAATAGTTAAACCAGCAGAAGCCTGTTTAGAATATGATCCAGAAGTTATATTGCCAGTACAGACAAGTATGTAATACATCTACAATTTTATTTATAGTGTAAGCAAAGCTTTCAACTTCACCCACATTAGATTTGATCTACGAGTTTTCCAAGGGCAAAACACAAAAATAGGTTGTTTTGGTTTGTCAGCTTCCTGCATACACTAATCACTTGAGTTAGTGATTGGAATAAAACAAAACAAATTAACAGGATAGCTGTCCATACTGATTTTAGGGATAATTTTACGTAGAGCAGCAGCTTTTTGAAATAAGCAGATTAAGGATCAAGGCATAAGCAGTCTTGTACTCCAAAGCAAGAGGGAATCATATAAATCTTCAGATACTACAGGTACTCTTCAATGTATGACCATTCGTTTAATGATAGTTCAGTTACACTAGCCTCAGAAAAAGTCGTTTATAACCCAGTCATTGCATTTACAATGGTCATTGGATAGCAATTTGGTTCAGGGGTGGGTTCTAAAATTTTTTACTACCGGTTCTGTGGGCATGGCTTATTTTGTGGGTGTGGCTTGATGGTCATGTGACAATTCTTTAGGATTTAGCAGAGGTACTGGTCTACCAGGCTTTTAACTGTTTGCAGGGTACCGATCTACCCATTTCTTTTTGCAGGCACTGATCTACTGATGTATTTTTGCGGGCACTGGTCGACCCATTTATTTTTGCAGACACCGGTCTACTCATTTGTTTGCTTTTAACACTGATCAGCTGTAGGGCGGCCCTTTGAAGCCCCGCGGCAAGAGTTTAAACAGTTTTTTCCCTCTAGCCATCAGCTGGGACTCAGGAAGCAGCAATAGATTGGGGGTGGGGTCAAATAAAAGGTAAGAATAATGCGGGGGCGGGTGGGGGTGCGGAGGGCTGGGGGGCAGAACCGGTTCGATGATGTCATATTATCACGGCTACCGGCTTGGCGGAACCGGGCCAAACTGGGAGGAACCCACCACTGATTTGGTTGCCTGGCCACTACATTGGTTATGGGATCACGATTTGCAATTTCCCTAGCTAGTTTCAAACAAGCAACTTCAAATGGGGAAGGTGGATTTGCTTAACGACTGTATGATTCACTTAATGACCTCAGTAAAAATGGTAATGAAATTGGGTCCAGTTACGTGATGATTCACTTTACAATTGCTGTGACTAACAGCAGAAATTCCAATCCCAATTGTAATCATACATCAAGAACTGTGTCCAATGTAGTCCCTTAAAATGAAAGCATTTCCATATATTTAAAGTGTGAACATTGAATGTCGATTACCATGTGTGTCAATTCCCATTAAGGATACCAGGTGAAATGGTAAGCGGAAAAACTTTTTGAGAGAAAATATAGAGTACAAGAGAATGACTGTTGGAAAACTGATAAGGGAAGTATACAATGTGTATAGAAAGCAAATATTGTAAAGAATCTCATCAAAGGCGGCATCAACAATACAAAGCTATTCTGATAGAACTTTTAAAAAAAATGTTTTCAGGAAAGAAACCTCTGGCAGAATGAATAGCAATTAAAATTAAAATAAAAAATGGAAGCAATTAAAAGTTTGGGGATGAAATTGAAACGAGGAAACCCAGATACGCATTTCTATGAGAATACGGGTGAAAAATAGAAATTCCGTTAGTGTTCAAGAAAAAAAATAGATGAAAGGGAATACATCATTACTGTGGGAACTACTGAAAAATGGCAAGGCTGACATGTACAAAGTACATCTGGGGAAATGTTAAATATGGATTGGCCTTTCTTGAAGCGGCTTGCAATTTTCACGGTGGGCAAGGGATGCATCTGCACCTAGCACTTGGAAAAGTACTATTAAGCCCTTCAAAAGAGGCACAGTTGCCTCCTCATGAGTAGTCAAGCTCAGGGGTCTCCGACCTTGTCAACGTTGGCTGGGGAATTCTGGGAGTTGAAGTCCTCCAGGCTTAACGTTGCCAAGGTTGGAGACCCCTGGTTTAGGTGACTGGTGGTGTGCCTGTCTCCTCTCTGCTGTGTGTGTCCTTGGGTCAGGAAGTGTGGACTCCCGTCCTTATTGTTAATGGGCAGGAGCTGCTCCAGCCTGCCAGGTCAATTTGCTGCAGCTGTGGCTTGCCTCATTTAGCCTCAGCCTGTTGCTCCTCCGATTGTCCAAGCCGAGGCTGTTCGAAGCACTCTCCTGAACTCTGATCCTGATCAGCACTCGGCTCCGTGTTTTCCTCTGCCAACTCACCCTCTTCCTCTGAACTTGCATCTTGGAGGGGTTTGGAGGCGGATCCGTAACACGAGGTTAAGAATAAAAGGCAATGATGAAGTGGGGGGGGGGGAAGAGGCTTGTATAGTGGATACAATGACAGAAATATGGAGAAATATAATGAATGCTAGTATGAAATAGATTTAGCTATATTTTTTTTTTTACCTTGTGCCTTATTGTCTTACTGTTTTTAACTCTGATGACTAGAACTGCGGGGTCAAGTGACGCAATCAGGACTTTTTTCCTTCAATAAACCGGGCGTGGGCATGGCCAGTGTGATGCAACCGGCCCCATGGGCAGTGAGCTCGACAGCCCTGCCCTAGAAGTTAAATGTTTTTTTAAAAATTTTTTTGATTTATATGCTGCCCTTCTCCGGAGACTCAGGGCGGCTTACAATGCGTTAAGCAACAGCCTTCATACTTTTGTATATTTTATACAAAGTCAGCTTATTGCCCCCACAAACTGGGTCCTCAATTTACCCACCTTAGAAAGGATGGAAGGCTGAGTCAACCTTGAGCTTGGTGAGAATTGAACTCGCAGTAATTGCAGGCAGCTGGATGTTAAATTCTGCCTTAGGAGGCATTAGCCTCCTACGCCACTCAGGCTCCTCATACATACATGTATGCACATAGTATGTATGTACACAGGGAAAGCATAATTGGAAATGTTGAAGGTAGTTGTACCTTCAACAAAATTAACGAAGTAGACTGATACTATTATCTTAAAATGTTCCAAAGGTTTTTTTTCTTATGTGGAGATTAATATCAAATGGCCTATTATTAGTTTAAATCAGGGGGTCTGCAACCTTAAACACTCAAAGAGCCATTTGGAGCCATTTCCCTCAGAAAAGAAAACACCGGGAGCCACAAAACCCTTCCCATGCCTGACTATTTCTTGAGCGGCCACAAAACTAGCATATGTAGTTGAATTAATCGTTCTGTTTTCTCCTGAAACTTTTCTTTTCTTGGATTTATCCATGGTTGGCCTACTGGGGGTGGGTGGGTTAAAAGCTCAATTAATTGCATGCTGGGGGGTGTCGCACATTGGCGGTTGTAACACACATTTTGAGTTACAGGGAGCTATAGCAGAGGGGTGAAAGAGCCACAAGTTAATGACCCTTGGCCTAAATGCAGGCTATGAGTTTTTACATTAAACCTCTGTAATTGTTAATGATCAACCAAAAAATATATATCAAGACAAAGCTATAATGCAAGTTTTATTGTTCTACACCAGAGCATAAATCAATAGATGCGTCATAATTCTTTCCTGGGTTCAGAAAGATTTCTGCAAAGTAAATTATACTCGTGAAAACATATGAATGACCCATGCTGGAAAGCACCTGTGTTGTAACTAAATCCTATGCAATTTTATTCAGATGCAAGTTTCTGCTCAATGGGTCTGACTCTTCTTTTAGTGCACCCTGCAACCCTACACACACACTTTATCCTGGGTGATAGATCTGTGTTTGAGACTGAAGCCCTGTCACTTATGAATAGAGTTCCCCTTGATCTATGCTTCTCCTTCAATTAGGTTAGTAATCTATAAAGAACTCAGGAAAGCACTTATTCCAAGAACTGGTTTTGATTTGAAAAATCTTTGTGGCTCGCTGTAAGAGATTCTTTTCTATATATATTGGTATCAACCGTTCTATGCTGCCCAGTTTGAGAGAGTCATTTGGAAATTCCTTTCTTCTCTATAATAAACCAAGATACAGCCCACCTAGCACTTTTCTTGGGATCCCTGCATAGCATATCATTCTTAGCCAGTGAAAAGTTCTTATAGATCACATCTCTTCTAGGCACTGCAAAAGCAATCGTCGAATATCTCTGGCCTGATTCTGTGTCAAAATCAACATATCAGAGACCAAATCTAGGTACTCCATTAAAAAGGTAAAAGGAATTTCTTTTCAAGTCTCACACAAGTTTCAATTGTTTTCTTCTGCCCTGGAATGTAAAGTGTATGCTATACTTAGTGAAGTTACATATTTGTAACTAAAAAAAAAAAAAATGTGGAAAAAAAGTTTGTTGCAGCGACAGGTCTTTATCAACACTGACATATCATTATCAATAATCTCGTAGGTCGCTCTCCAGTCCATATATCTTTGATTTTAAGTTTTTAAGTTCTCCTTGTAGCTTCTTGGTTCTCTTGTTCCCTCGGCGAACTTCATGCAGAATTGCAAGATCTTGGTCGGGTCCCACGTTCATTACCACCTAGAAAGAAAAACAATTTCAAAGGAAGAAGAGTTTGATTTTGGAAAAGGAATACAGAAAGTTTTGAGTAGATTTTATTGACTGATGGACTGAAAGGACATATATGGCTGCCCATCTCAAGAACAATAATTTTGGGTGGCTCACAAAAACAGCAGTAGAAACGTAACCAGAAAGAATGGAACCATCATCAAAAGATAGTTCCTAGAACACCCCCTCCCCAAAACACTCAGTCATCAACATTTAACAATTAATGGGGTGCAGCCACTCCCTAACTCAGGAGTCTCCAATCTTGGCAACTTTAAGACTTGTGGACTTCAACTTCCAGAATTCTGGGAATTGAAGTCCACAAGTCTTAAAGTTGCCAAGATTGAGTTAGGGCAGGGATCTCCAATGTTTGGGAGATTTTTAAGGCCATCTGGAAGACTAATAGGTAAAGGCTTGTGAGATCTGGGGAGGATGTTGCATAGGGCAGGGGTTGGTACAGAGAAGGCACACTTCCTAGGTCTCACCAGATGACATTTAAGGAAACAGGAGAATGTACCCATCCTATCTAACCTAGTGCAACCTTGGGTAGATATCCTCAGGGAGAAGCCATAAATAACTTGACGCTATACCACATACAGTTTTAAAGATGATAATCAGCACCTTGAATTGGACTCCAAACAATAATGGCGTCCAGTGTAGCTCACAGCAATTGCATAACACAGACAACTAAAGGGTGTCCAGAGGTGCAAGGTGCAGATGTCTTTTGGCCAGTTGTAAATTTTAGATGGTCTTCAAGGGTAGCCCCACGTAGAAAATATCGTCATAATCCAACCAGGCAGTGCCCAGAGCATGTGAGCAAGGCCTCTTGCTCCAGGAATGGTATAATTGGTGCAGAAGATGGAGCTGCACAATGACCAACACCCCCCCCTTCCCCCACCAGCCATTGCCATCACTTCAATCAGGAGCCCCAAATCTAGGATAAGTGTGGAATAAGCTCTGTGTGGTAGAGTTCTACCTTGGCAAGAATCAAAGATGGTACCCTCATCAGATTGGGGGGGGGCATAAAAATCAGATCCACTGCATCATGTTATGGTTGTGTCATGGGTTTGTTTCTTCTGATCCAGTACCTCACAACTTAAGACAATGGGTCAGAACCCAAATGGCATTGCGTGGCTGACCAAGGGTAAAATTTATAACTGGTTATCAGCACACTGATGATACAGCACCCCATACTGGGAGGACTAGAACTTTCTTCTTCCTAATCCAGTCTCTCTTTAGCCACCACATCACCTGGCTCTTGGTAAAAACACACTTAACTGAAAATAGATTCTGCTAATTATTGTTTCTGAAGTTTGGAAATTTGCATTATTTCAGAGGAATTGTTATTTTAACCTTTTCTACCTTGAAAAGTTGCTTCTCCACATCCTGCAGCTTTTGTTGGAATTGTTTGATATCGTTTTTAAACCCTTCCACCTCCATGGCCCGCCTTTTTTCCAGTGCCTCGTAGCGCCGGGTCATTAACTGTAGACGCTTTCCCATCTTTTCTGACTGTTGCTACAAATGTGGAAGCAAAACGTTAAGAGTATAGTGTGATCATCAGATATCTGTCAGCAGTTCTCATGGCAAGATAGAGGAAGGAGCTACCATACTTAGTCAAAGTTGCCCTCAAAAGCCATTTACCTTGAACATTTCTTGACCTAAATTTCCTTCCTCCCGAGTCTTAGACAACTCCTCTTCCAATGAAACACACTGTTCTCGATACATGTTTGCTAATTTCCGCTCCTGGGTCAACTGATCTCTTAATCCCTGGAGGCGAGATTAAAAAAAATCTTTATTTGAGCAGCTAGAAGGAAGTGCAGAAATGGTAACATCAATAAATAATTAAGAAAAAAAAAATGACTGGCAAGAAACTTTTATGACATCATTTCAATGCACCTGTCAGAGTTCCAAGTAACACCCCCCAATGAAAGAAGACTCCGAGGCTTAAGTTTCCTCAAAGTTCCTGTTTATTGAAGATGTCATATTGGCACATCTGGGAAAACCTGAATCTGAAAGTTTCCAGGTTTTCCCCACCCAAGTGAAAGTTGTCCCTGCCCAGCACCCACATGTCCATCACGTGGCCCAATCATCCACCATCCAAACTGGAGACGCTTCCCAGTCATCTGACTCCAGGTGCCAGGGCAAGGTGCCCTTGACTCTCAGAGAAAGAAATGTTATTTTGACTACATATCATCCATACTCTATGCCCGTGATGATGAACCTATGGAACGTGTGCCATAGGTGGCATGTGGAGCCATATCTGTGGGCACGCGAGCATTGCCCTAGCTCAGCTCCAGTGTGCATGCGCATGCCGGCCAGCTGATTTTAGGCATTCTGGCTATTTCTGGCCTCCGGAGGGCCTCTGGGTGGTTGGGAAAGGCAGTTTTCACCCTGGAGCCTGGGGAGGGCAAAAAACAGGCCTTCCGGTCCCACCAGAAGCTGGGAAACAGGCCATTTCCAGCCTCCAGGATGGGGGGGAAGGCCAAGAAAGCCTCTGGAGCCTGGGGAGGGCAAAAAATGGGGCTACCGGGCCCACTGTGCCATCACGTTCCAAAAGTGGGGGGAGCATGAGGGGGTCGCACGGGCATGCGCCGGGGAGGGGGAGTGCATTGAATTATGGGTGTGGGCACACACGCGCACGACCCCCCCGTGCTCCCCCCACTTTTGGCACGTGATGGCAAAAAGGTTAGCCATCACTGCTCTATGCAATGCCCCCTCCCATTTTCCCACAGAAGAAAATGTGGCAGGCCTGAAAGCCCAAATGTAAAAGATGGCTTCTGGGTCTGACAGGACCATGGCATCACAGTATTGAAGTTGTATGGTACAGGTAGTCCTCAGCTTATGACCACAATTGAGCCCAAAATTTCCATTGCTAAACAAGACATTTGTTAAGTGAGTTTCGCCTCATTTTACGACCATTTTTGCCACAGTTGTTAAGTAAATCATTGCAGTTGTTAAGTTAGTAATACGGCTGTTACCTTAATCTCTCCTCCATATATTTTGTGAATGTTCTGCTCTCCTTGAAAAACACATCTGACAACTTTTGGCTTTCTCCTCTTGAAAACTTCAACCTTCTCACTGGGAGGTGATCTCTTGGTGAAACTTTGCTGATGAGGACTACTTCTCCATTCATCCAATGTAGTGTCCTGCTTCTCTGGGCTAGCAACCCACCAGCTTTGACAACTTTCATAACTCTGATTGACGTGATCCTGGACCGGACTACCATCCTTATAAACCCTGCTCTGCTTGTGTGCACATTTACATTTGTCCATCTTCCTCAGCAGAGTGTCCTTCTCTGCCATCCAGGATTTTTCATTTGCTCGTGCATCAAACTTTATCTGCAGAAAATCTTTGGTACTCTCATATAGCAAATGTTGAGCTTTATGGTATCTGCGGAGAGGCAGGTTACAATAAATTAGTAACTGATTTATTGGCCAATTTATACTTTAACTCCACTACAAGGGTGAATCAGGATGTGGAACAGGAAGCAACAGCTTCAGTATATCGGCGTGTCCTAGGTTTATGGCTGCTGTGTCACCAAGTGTATTCTGGATGTGAGTCTACATGGATCTGGATCCTAACCCAAATTGGATTAGTCATCTAGGACTCTATTCTGATTTGCAGCTCTCCAGGATTGCTAGACAAAGATTTATCACAGAACCAATATAGTTTTGGTGATTGAATTTGGAACTAATTATCCATGTAACAGCTAGGCTCAATTACAATATGATGGACTCTTTCCTAAGTAATAACATTATCTAGAAGTAATCACTTACAAAACAATCTATCCCATACATACTGTAGCAGAGGTTAAAATCAGAAAGATCATTTAAAAAAAAAAATGATATTTTGCCCAGGGCAGAATAAAATGCTTTTACAACACCCAACGTATCATTCCTTTTGGTATGTGATCTCAACTGGTCTTTTGCACCTACTTTTCAGTAATATCTTTGATCTGTTCCTGATCTCTCTGATGCTGCACCTGAGCTTCTTCGATACGGATGCGTCGATCTTCTAGCAGTGCTTCAGTCTGCTCCTTTGACAGCTTAGTCTGTTCTTCTAGTTGAGCTTGAAGAGACTCCACCTGAATCCACAAAGAAAAAAAAAATCTGAAGAATATGCTATAATGCAAATAAAAGCTTTCCCTTGCAAAACAGCCTCGTTTGCAGATTTTAGCCAGTTTGATGTAGTGAATTAAGGTGTCGGACCAGAACAGGGGTATCAAACTGGTGACCCGTGGGCTGGATGTGTTACGTGCAGGCCACGCCCACCCCAGCTCCGTGAAGGGGAAAAAACTTCATGACACATGACGCCACGAGTTTGACACCCGGGATGTCAAGAAGAAGAAAGGAAAGTTCTAGTTCTCTCATAGGTGCAGAAGGTGGCTGGGTGATTTGAACTCTCCAAGTCCAACCCACTGTTACTGGAAAGATTATGAGGAGGGAGCATTATGTATTTATTTATTTTTTTTAGAAAAGCATCACAGTTGTATTTCCAACCACTGAATGTCAAAGATAAAATGATTACTGAAACTGTCATCTGCCATTAATCACTTGTTCTTTCTTCGGACCATACATTTCCAGAGTTGCTCTCCCTTCTCCCAACTTCATTCCCTTCATCTGTCTCAATATTTGCATAGCCACAATTCTCTGAATGAGAATAAGGGGGAAAATGTAGTTTACAGCAGACAACTCTCTCTTGTAATAAAAGATTGCAAACCTGTTAGGTTACATTGTACTAGGAGCCCCACCTGGAAGAGAAGCGGGGGTCCATTCAAAATCCCTTCAATGATTGTAGTAACATAAGAGAATAAAATGTTAAGGTGAGTCCTGGGTAACTTGATCAGAGACCCGATTAGTGTATAAGGGCGTGGGAACATACATCTGCATAGCTAAATTTATTATTTATTCAATTTATATCCCGCCCTTCTCCTGCAAAATTCTGATGAAACAGTGACATATTACCAGGAAGAGAACTGTATAGAAATGGCTCCTGAGTCATCAATTCTTGTTCCTTTCAGTCAGTCAAAGGAAAAAATCAGAACTCTTGGGGATATTATTTTGTCAGACTTCTCTTGATGGATACCAGATCTGGAAGTTTCCCCAGTGAGCCATTCAAGGCTGCAAATCTCTTAAACTTCCAATTGCAAAGCCAAGACAGCATCCCAGCAACGGCTGAGTAATATATAGATAGGTTCTATTAACAGATCTACTACATTCTTATGCCATTTTTCCCCCGCTCACACTTTGTCATGTTCAGTGCATGCTTTTTGAGTGGGAAGAATGGTTGCTAATGGTTCCATTGTGGTGAACGGCTAGTCTAATTTCAGCTTGTTCTGGTTCTCTCCTTGACAACACCGTCTCTAGCGTGACCTCTTTTGCAATCTTTTGTTCAGTAAGGCAGTAAAGTCAAACTAGGTGCCTGAGAAAACGGTCCCTTTTTAATGCTCTTTTGGTAGTCTCTACTACTTTCTTTCTCCCACTTTTCTCAGGAAAGACACACCTGAAATGGAACAGATTAAGGCCCTTAGTACCAGATCTGTCTATAATAGATCCAACTTGTACACCAAGAAATGGTGGATTAGAGGGAAGACTGGCATCCATTACCAAAACCTGGCCAGATGAAAATACCCTTCATTATGTTGTTTAACCGGGATGTAGTCAAGATTCCAATGCAGGAGGGGCAGGGGTGAAATGTTCCCGGTTCGGACTGGATCACCCGATCCGGTAGCGATGGCGGCGGGTGGTTCGGAGAACTGGTAGCAAAAATCCCTGCGCCCCCCTCTACCATGCCCAGCTGAGCCGCACGATCATCAGAGGCTTTTTTTTTTTAGTTTTAAAAGCATTTTTTCTACAACCTCTTCCGATGAAAAAATGCTTTTAAAAGTAAAAAAAAAAAAAAAGCCTTTGATGATCGCGTGGCTCAGCTGGGATCCTCAGAGGCTTTTCAAAGCATTTTTTTCTGCAATCTCTTGGCCGAAGAGGTGGTTAAAAAAAAAATGCTTTGAAAAGTCTCTGACGATCCCAGCTGAATTGCCTGATCAGCAGAGGCTTTTCAAAGCATTAGAAAAAATGCTTTGAAAAGTTTTTTTTAAAAAAAGTTGGCCACGCCCACCCAGTCACATTACCCCCTACCAAGCCATGCCCACCGAACCGGTAGTAACAAATTTTACATTTCACCCCTGAGGAGGGGTGGAATGTCAGTAGTATATCACCATGAAATGTAACCATGTTCATTACCATATACACATTCTTTAACACCTTAGTAGAAGAACCGATCCTGACTTTGATTTGATGAACTGAAACCCAGACCAGCATGGTGATTCTACAGTTTTTCACGTAATCCTACCAATTACCTGTAGTAGGAGTGTTTGGTTGTCTTTTTGGTATCTATTTGCACATTCGGGTTTCTCTCTTCTATTTTTAAAACCTACAAAGAAAATAAGTGACAAGGTGTTATCCCATTCATTTTATTTATCTGAAAGGTTTTCTTTGAGGTAATGTTTTAAGGCCACAATAGTTAACAGAACAGAACTATGCACTTACTATGAACATTCTTTTTCTATACATGGAAAACCAAGTTGCTCTTTGCCCTTGCTCCAAAAGAAAAAATTAAATGCCTGAATTAGGGGGAAGAACCTCTTTCTTAAAGTTGCAGGGTAAAAGAAGAGAAAAAAACCCTATCAGAATAAAAACTCAGGATAGTTTTTTCCCTATGATAAAAACCATCATCTTCATTTGCTGTAGAGAAATAATTTTTGCAATCATTTCTATTTCTCTTTTCCTACAGTGGAAGGAGGCATCCTGAAAACTGAGATATACTAATGGTGTCCAAAAAAAAAAAAGGGGGGGGGGGATTGAAAGAACTTCAGGAATGTAGGAAGGCAGATTGTAAGGGATTTGCCAATGGCAATTATGGGAACTCTGCTAAGAAAAAAAAAATGCCTGAAGTAGCTACATCCTTTACAGAATGGGTCACAACTCTCTCCAAAGCAGCAAGAGGAATAGGAATATTCCTTATTGGCCAAGCGTGACTGGACACACAAGGAATTTGTCTCCGGTGCATAAGCTCTCAGCCTACATACGAACAACAAGTGATAAATCAAAAGATAACAGTAGGAGTAGTAGGAAAGATGAGAAGGGATAATGGAAATAACAGCCCTACCACATGGGTATATATCTTTAGGCATAAGACAGTGCTATGGGAATTAAGTGTGTAGCAGAGTGATGGCACGGGGGGCGGAAAAACTGTGTCTAGTTGTTTTTGCATGCAATGCCCTGTGGCTGCGTCCTAGCCCTGATTGCATTGGTATCAAATAGCTTGCTCTGTTTTACTATTATTTTATGGATTATTATATTACTTTATTATATGATATGGGTAGTCTACAGCTAGATTTACAGTCTAAGACTTGTAGAAACTTAATTCTAGTCCTAACCAAGGACCTATGAATTATTAAGGTATAATAATAATATTTATCCCACCCTTTTAATATATAACTTGAGGCGGCAAACATGCCTAATACTCCTGCCACCTATTTTCCCCACAACAGCCTTCTGAAGTGGGCTGAGTGACTGGTTCAACGTCACCCAGCTGGCTTTTCTTGCCTAAAGAAGACCTAGAACCTATATTGGTTTCCAGGACAGCACCTTCACCATGACACCAAACTCTCTCTCCAATTCTCTCATTCTAATTCTACATGCTATTGGTAAACCTGAAACGTAGAACAGCCTGTGTATTTCTGGACTCATTGCTTACACCAAAAGTTCTTATTGATGCGCCACAAAATTATATAGAGGTAATCCACTGGTGGTTACGCTACTATGGCTGAAATCAAAGTGATTAGCACAAAGGGGGGTAGTCATACGGATAGTACTTCAGATAGCAAAGGAGAAGAACTGCTATTTAGAGTTTGTCTCTTTTTGACTGGTAGTTAAAATTTCCCCTGTTGGTGTTCTGCCTATCTGAGGGATTCCTGAAATAACTGAGAAAAACTTTTAGGTTTTACTTTCTTTAAAGAATCAATGTGACCAATTCATTGAATTAACCATAACAATTGATCAATGGAATAGCTTGCCCGCAGAAGTTGTAGGTGCTTTGTCACTGGAGGTTTTTAAGAAAAGACTGGACAGCCTGTGGGAAATAGTATGGGGTCTTCTGCTTGAGCAGGGGGTTGGACTAGAAGACCTCCAAAGTCCCTTCCAGATCTATTCTGATTGAAATTAGTTTGAGATTCTTTGGGAAAAGAAGCCCACGTAATTCTGTGCAATGGAACTTAGCAGGAAAATCGCTGGGAGGGCATGTTTTCTCCCTCTATGGCTGTTCCAAATCTTAGCCTTGTCTAGTGAAAAGGAGAAACCCAGTTTTTAGGAAAGGAGAGAAGAGGAAAGATTTCAGCTCAAATCATTTAGGAAAAATTAAAGTACAACTCCCAAATTTACAGGCAGCATCTTGAGAGTTGTAGCAATACATTCATTGGGTACCGCAAAGGAGAAGGCTAAATATTCAAGTCCAATTAGAGTCAGATCTTTTCCATAAAACCCTATGGTATCTGAATGTTATCTCTAATGTTTACTCAAAGTAATTTTTATTTTTCCACTGACCTATTATTGAAGTGTATTTGTCACATCCTTCCTGGGAATCTCTTTTAGTAGGTGCAGGTAGTTGATCTATAGTGACCTATAATAACCAAAACATTGCTCATATTTTATTTTATCAAAGTATTTCATATACACATTAGACACAGTAATTATAAGAAATAATAAAATATATAGATAACAATGATCTAGTTTCAACTATTAATGTTATGCTTGTATCTTAATATTTCTTCATACATTTTCCTACCTCTTTTACCAAATTGTGCAAATTAACCTACTTGCTCTAGTTAATTTTCCCCATTAATCACGACTACCCTGTCTTTTATAACTTAATTTTCCAATCGATGTTGATGTGTGAAATAATCTAACATTTACTGCAAGTCCTTCAGATCTCAACTAAGAAGGCGGCATAATCTGGAGCGATAGGTATGTTTATGTTTCCAGCTGATAAAAAGTCTAAAATCACTAGAAGCATACATTTTTATTAATGTATTAATACATTAAACCACTAGGGGGACATCACACAACTTTGCTTTACACTGTTTAATGTCAAGCTATTACCTATGCGTTGTTTTCTCTTGCATGCTTTATTTCCTTCATACACCCACTTTTAAAGCTTTCACCAACCAATCTCCAATTTCATATTTCTGTGAAACACCCCATGCCTATTCACTTTAGCATGTCTTTTCTCTAGATCAACAAATATAAACTTTCTTTTTTGAAATTAATTTTTCAATAAATCTATTGAAGAAGAAAAAAAATCTGGTCTCTGCTCACTTCTCTGTCAATAAAATGCTGCATTGCATTTCCCAAACCTTTCAGTCAGCATTCACCAGTTTCCTAGCACATTTAATAACAATAGCACTTAGACTTATATACCTCTTTACAGCCCTTTCTAAGCGATTTACAGAGTCAGCATATGGTCCCCAACAATCTGGGTCCTCATTTTACCGACCTCAGAAGGATGGAAGGCTTGAGTCAACCTTGAGCCTGGTGAGATTCGAACTGCCAAATTGCAGTCAGCAAAAGTAGCCTGCAGTACTGCACTCTAACCACTGTGCGCCACCATGGCTCATTTAACAAACTGATTTGCTTCTGACTGTGTCAGCGACTGCATATACTTCCAAGCTGGTAATATTATACTGGCTTGCAGCATAATCTCTAGATTAGAGATCCAAGTTTGCTCAGAATACTTGTGGCACAACTGGAATTTAGTTGTACTTGTAACACACATGACAAAACCGAGCAGTGCTGTCTTTACCATGTATAGTAATGTTGCAAGTAGCACAGCTAAACCGTCTCTATCATTAAAAGTCATTCCTATGAAAGCGGACCTATATAATTATTTACTTTTAACAACTTGACTTGAATGATAGATTGACCAACCTTGACTTACAAGGCTTTCTGGAATTGTCACTTGGGAAAGTATTGGGTTTAGGCCTATGAGGCACAAATTCATCAATTTCATTAAAACTTCAATTTATTGATTTACATTAGCTTTTGCCTGAAAATTTATGCATGTGATTATGTTTATATCGTGCTCTTTCTCTGAGAACTAAAGGGTACTTTTCATTCCAAAAATATATTGCAGTTCCTTGAATATATTTTGCTGCCTTTAAAAAAAAGATCTTGTTGCAGCTACATTTTATATCATTATTTAAATCTTTTTAATAAGCCATAACAATAATGTAAGTAATGTATTATATAAAATAAAACAAATGGAGTAAAAATATCTAGGTTAATTGATGGTCCTTACCTTATTTGGGGGTTCTTGGTGAAAATAGGTAATTTCACCCTCATCTGTTCCTAATAAAGCCAAAAGATGTTGAATCTTCTTTCTGTCATCTAGTTCTCTGTAGATTGAAAATAAAGCAATTTATTTTCTGTCCTCTAAATCCCCGTGCATTGAAAATAATGCAATTTATTTCTGTTCCTAAATGCTGATGTATCCTGCACTTTTTGTTGACTTCAAGGTTCACCTAAATCTCTGAAAACCATTTTTTAAAAATTTTACATACTCTAGAAGTTTTCTTTCTTGTAGAATCTAACCACTTTTAAGTCTTCACGAAAACTTTATGGCAAACTAATGGTCGGAAACACTGTGTTTAAAATGTAATTTCTTCTCTGCTGAAGATATTATTTCTCTCAATGTCTTCTATTTCAGAAAGAACAAATAGAAATTAGAGTAGCACCTTATGACTAAGAACGTGAACTTGAATCTTTAGCCACCAGGAGGCAATGTTGGCAAATCATTTTATAAAATAGAGGCTGCTTAAAATCAGATGCTTTGGAAGAGGAAGTTCTATTTTAGGACTAAGACATACATATAAGTAGAAATGTACCAGCATAACTCCCGGGACCCATATCAGTCCAGATATGGTAATTCTAAAATTCCTATCATAGGATTGCAAAAAATAATATCCCAAAACAATGGGAGAAATCCTCTGTGCTTGACTTGCAACAGAGTAAAGTTGATAAATATGAACTGTTCATATGTGAATTGGGCTTGTTGTTTTTTGTTCAAACAGAAAGGCAAGAAAGGATTCTGAGGATCTGATACAATTTCTTGGAAATTATTTTTATGAAATGGATTATCTGGCCCTTTTTTTGGGGGGAGGGAGATTTTTGATTAATACTCTATTAATTGAACAAAACAGATACCTCTCTTACTCAATTGGATGTATTTATTTTCAACATTTTTATCCAATATTTTAGGTAAGAGAAAAATATACTGCTCAAAAAAATAAAGGGAACACAAGCAGAAGACATCCGAGATCTGAATGAATGAAATAGCCTTATTAAATACTTTGTTCATTACATACAGTAGTTTATACACTGTTCAAACTAAAGGGAACACAAAACTACTGTATGTAATGAACAAAGTATTTAATAAGGCTTTTTCATTCATTCAGATCTCGGATGTCTTCTGTTTGCATTCCCTTTTTTTGAGCAGTGTAGTATATTTGGGATCCCACACTGATATATATACTGTACAGGTAGTCCTCAACTTACCACCACAATTGAGTCCAAAATATCTGTTGTTAAGTGTTAATTTCATTTGTTAAGTGAGTTTTGCATGATTTTACAGCCTTTCTTGCCCCTGCTGTTAAAGTGAATCACTGCAGCTGATAAATGTCCGGTTGTTAAATGAATCTGGCTTCCGCATTGATTTTGCTTCTCAGAAGGTTGCCAAAAGGGATCACATGACCTTGAAACAGCAACATGAACCAGTTGCGAAGCATCTGAATTTTGCTGCAAAAATTGTAACTGTTCTGTAGTTCAAATTGTATTCCAGTGAGAAAAGAGAAGATTCATTTGCAGTTTTTCTCAAGAAAACAGCAGAGGAATGAAAGGGTCTGTAAGTTTACTCTCTCACTGACAGTCTGCATCTTTGTCATAGATCCTTTCCCCTAAGAAGCAAGTACCAATTATATTCCAATGTCATAAAATAAAAAGGCAAGGAAGAAGCAAATTGCTCTCATCTGCATTCCATTCACACACATCTTATTTTTTGCCTAAGTGCAAAATTCCAATATATTTCAAATCTATAAATCCCATCAATCTCTTGCCATTTTTCAGTCTTCCAGACCAGGCCACAAACCTGATTTTCAGTCGATCGTTTTCAGCATAAAGGCGCAGCACATGCTCTCTTTCTTGAAAAAGGTACATTTGCACGTCACTCAAAGCCTTCTGCAGTTCTGCAATTTCTTCTTCTCGCTGACGCATTTCCCATTGCAACTTGTGCTGTGGAGAGAAAAAAATATTATCAATCCCCTGGCAGAAGAAACAAAAGTAGAATACAAGTTTTCTCAAGAACACGTTCCATCCCACACCCAAGGGAACTTCTTGACAGAACGCTAGCATTTAGCCTGTCAAGAAGGTGCTTAATATCAAGTTCTACAAATTGTAACAAGTGTTTTCTTCATGCTTACCATCTCTTCTGTATGCTGAGAATGGTCTTCTAGACTTCAAACATCAATGGAAGTTCAAGTAGCTATTAAGTGAACTGTCCAGCCCTCTCTTAGCCCTATTACAGGGGTCAGCAACCTGAGGCTCTGGAGCTGCATGTGGCTCTTTCACCCCTCTGCTGCGGCTCCCCGTCACTCAAAATATGCATCCCAACTGCCAATGTGTGACACCTGCCGGCACACAATTTATTGAGCTTTTCAACCCCCGGTAGGCCAACCATGGATAAATCCAAGAAAAGAAAAGTTTCAGAAGAAAACAGAACGTTTAATTCAACTACATATGCTAGTTTTGTGGCCACTCAAGAAATAGTCAGGCATGGGAAGGGTCTTGTGGCTCCCGGTGTTTTCTTTTCTGTGGGAAACAGGTCCAAATGGCTCTTTGAGTGTTTAAGGTTGCAGACCCCTGCCCTATTATAATCATTACTTTCCTCTATGCTTCTAATGTTTGTCCTATTTTCTAATTTAGTTCCACTTTCTTTTCTCTTAGCATATCATATCAAACTCTCAAACTATAAATTGGTTGGTTTATTATCTACATTCGGCTTCTTCAATAAAAACACTTTTAAGGAATAGACCAGGGAACAGCTCTACTTAGACCTAGCAGAACTACTGTGAGCCAGAATAATCGCTATGGTATTGGCTTAGCTTAATCAAAGATCAGTAAATGAATCAAGAGAGGATAAAAGTGCTTTGAATAGGACTACAGAACTGCCATGGTCCTTGGAACACAACTGCTGTCTCCCATTCTTAAGGAATATAGTCTACAAATAAAATATATATAAGAGGGAGTCAAGCTATTCTCCAAAGCACCTGAGGGCAGGACAAGAAGCAATGGGTGGAAACTAATCAAGGAGAGAAGCAACTTAGAACTAAAGAGAAATTTTCTGACAATCAGAACAATTAATCAGTGGAACAACACGCTTCCAGAAGTTGCGAATGCTCCAACACTGGAAGTTTTTAAGATGATGTTGGATAACTATTTGTCTAAAGTGGTGTAGAGTTACCCTTCCCAGCAGGATATGCCAGGAAGGGATTGGGCCATGAAATCTTGCCTCATATTCCTTCCTTACTTGTATGGAGAACCTTGTTCAACTGGCCTCTCACTTTCCTGGGTGCCTCATTTTCTTCCTGGGAAAGTAAGCATCCTAAAGAAAAGCAACACTTCCTTGCACCTCCCAGAATTATCTGTGTTTTCCTTTTTCCCCAATGTGAGTATAGAGTAATAAAATAGGGAATAATAGAGCAGCAACAATAGCAATAGCACTTAAGACTTATATACCACTTCACAGTGCTTTTACAGCCCTCTCTAAGCAGTTTACAGAGTCAGCCTATTGCTCCCCAACAATCTGGGTCCACATTTTACCCACCTCGGAAGGATGGAAGGCTGAGTCAACCTTGAGCCGGTGAGATCTCTCCTCACAGTAACTCATGTCCTTGTCACCTCACGGTTAGATTATTGCAACGTGCTCTACATGGGGCTACCCTTGAAAGGTGTTCGGAGACTACAGTTGGTCCAAAATGCAGCCGCGCGAGCTATCGTGGGTACACCTAGATACACCCACATTACACCAATTCTCCACGAGCTGCACTGGCTCCCTATTAGTCTCCGGGCACAATTCAAGATGTTGGTTATTACCTTTAAAGCTCTACATGGCTCAGGGCCAGGTTATCTTCGAGACCGCCTTCTACCACATAGCTCCCAGCGACCGATAAGATCCCACAGAGTTGGTCTCCTCTGGGTCCCGTCAGCTAAACATTGTCGGCTGGTGGGCCCATGGGGGAGGGCCTTCTTTGTGGCTGCCCCAGCTCTCTGGAACCAGTTACCTCCTGAAGTCCGGACTGCCCCCACCCTATTGGCCTTCTGAAAAGCGGTGAAGACCTGGCTTTTCCAGCAGGCCTGGGGCCATTGATCTTGCTGTTGCGATCTTGTGAGATCCGGCCATGAATGATGTGAATCGGTTTTAATGTTTTAATTTTTAAATGTTTTTATAATGGTTTTTTAAATGTATTGTAAGCCGCCCTGAGTTTTCGGAGAAAGGCGGCATATAAATTGAACTAATCATCATCATCACCATCATAACTGCTGAACTGCAGCTAGCAGTCAGCTAAGTAGCCTGCAGTACTGCACTCTAACCATTGTGGCACCTCAGCTTGGATAACAAAGTTATCAATTACTTAATGTTCCATATTATCTTAGAATTTATTAACACAATGCACATGTGTAAGCATGTGTACACACACACGCATGCACAGAGCACTTTGAACCTTTTTGATATCACATCTATTGACAAAAAGCATAATTACGCAATGAAAATTATTCTTTTCATCCTGCTTGTTTTTTAAAGCCACCACCCAAAATTATATATTTTAAAAAGTGAAATATAGTTTTGGTTTAATTTAGGTCAGACTAGAATGCATTCTCCTGTTAAGACTCTGAATGAAAAACAAAGATGGAAGCAGGAGAATGCTGCTCAGCTCATATTGATTCTTTTAAAAACTAAGGCGGATAAAGATTTCTTTCACTATCAGTGATTTAAAACAGTTTTTAAAAAAGTATGAGGATTCAGATAAATATAATGTATGGAACCAAGTTCCAGATAATTCATATTTCTCTTTAATACTTTTCAGTGAAAATGCCTTCTATGTAGCTTTGGCAAAAAATTCAAAGCCATAAAAGGACAAAGGAGTAAACCTTGAAGCTTCCTTATGTGGCTTTCCAGATCACTCATCTCTTGGTGGATTAATAACCTGACTAGGTGGCTCAGTGGCTAAGACATTGAGCTTGTCGATCAGAAAGGTCGGCAGCTTGGCGGTTTGAATCCCTAGTACAGGTCTCCTGTGTGAGCAGGGGGTTGGACTAGATGACCTACAAGGTCCCTTCCAACTCTGTTACTCACTCTTTTTTTCTTACCTGTTCATCATAAGACGCTTTGTACGTCTCCAACCGTTTGACCAGTCCTTCATGTTCTTCATCGAATTCTGCAATCTTCTTTCGATAGTACTCCAGCAGCTCCCGAGAGGGACGAAGGTAGGCCAGACGTTCATTGATTGAAGGAAGAGGGGTAGAATCATTTTGGTGAGGCGAAGGAGAGAGAGCACCTTTGGAAGCAGCACATGGAGTGCTTGATCTGGAAAAGATAATTAAATACCAAAAGAAGAGTTAACATTACTAAAAGCTTTTAACCCTATACTTGCATGTGATCTTAGACTCATGTGGGACACTGAGCGGAAAGGTATTATAAGGCTGGGAGTGGTCCCTGAAACAGGATTCCTGCCTACAATCCAGATTAGGATTGTTCTGTTAAATAAGGACTTTTGAGAGCATTTATTTTCATTTAATTTTGAAAAGGGTAGAAATTAGGTAAACTATGCACCTTAATGAAAGAATGCAATCTGTTTACTCATTGCTGGTTGCTACAGGCACAGCATAGCTGGCTGGAGAATTCTGGGAATGGAAGTCCACAAGTCTTAAAGTTGCCAAGTTTGGGAACCCCTGGTCTATAGGGACAACCAATACATCGTGACATCTCTTCAACGGGCAAGATTAAACTTTATTGTAATTTGTTTTAATTATATTATTAATAATTTTGTTAATTATATTACATGCAGTTTTAAGCACCCATAGTGATCTGACTTTGAAAAGGGTATCACACCTAAAACAACAAATTCATAAACTCCAACAAAGGCCCAAAATTTCAGCTTTGCCTACTCCTGAGTATGTTGCTTTGGAAACTAAAAATGGGATGCTGGGAGGTCTATGAATCGTGCTTTGCAAGATTCTTATTACTCTTGAGATAAATGAAGAGGAAAACAACAAAAGACATTTGAAATCAGCATCTAATTCTTTGACTTACTTTTTGCAAGGTGTTCTTGGAGAAGTAGCCATGGCGCTCGTTCTCCCCATCTGCAATGCATTTAATATATTGAATTACTGAGCCATAAAACATCTCTCACCATTTGGCCTTTATCCAAAAAGATCAGAAAACAAAAACATTTCTTAGACCTTTTTTCACAATCTGTCCCCCTATGCCATAATAAAGAACTTAACGAGATGACTTATACCAATGGTAGGTGTAATCCAACTCAATAAAAATGGGATAGCTCATGGATTACTGTAGATTCAAAATAAATTAGTCCAATTCAGCTCTGATCTGTAACAGCTCTAAAAACTGGTCATTTAAGTTATCTTAGGTTTATTTGTAACACCTGCTGTAGAACTATGGCTTGGTTCATATAATGCAGCTATGTGGTTTCTTTGGTTTGTCTTAGCACGCTCTATGAAGTATTGTGGTTTGAAAGGCATGGTTTATGGATGAAAGTCTCTTGTGGACCGAATCAATTGTGGCTTACTTGTAGTTAAACAACAATGATTGAAACAATATGGGTATGACACTAATGTTTGTATTATTGCAGCTCTTCCATTAACATTTAACTTTATTAAAATGTTCCAATCATTAAAACAAACAATCCACTGAAATCTTTAATATAATTTAAGAACTTCACTCACGCAAGTGAAGTTCAATTCAAATTTACTATTCAAATTGTATGGAAAAAAATTGTTTGTATTCCAATTAAATTTAGTTCCTCTTTTCAGCTTCCTTAATCCTCCTCCAGTGAACCTCACTTATTCAACACACCTTCCCATAATCCACTTAATGGTTTCTGGCAGATTTATTTAGCCCACTTTTAAATGCAAAATTTCAGGTCTGGAATATATTAAATAAGAATATCTTGGTGCATAAAACCAATTCCTCATCAATACAGCTTTTCAATGAACATAATATGTTCCAAAGATATACTCACAAGAAACTTCATATATTGTAACGTATGGTTTCACTGTGCACATCATTCACCACAAAATTAGACAAACTATACACAAATTCAATTCTACTCAAATTAAACAACCAGAATCTCTCACTAGTCCATGTTAATAACCATATGCATCTATTGTTCTATCTCTGGGCCTCCAAGTCAGCATTTACAAGTTAAGAGTGTTCCCAACATATTCGTTCGTGCTTACGGCATCCAGTTGTCTTATACTACAATTATGATTTGCATTTCCTTCAGGTTCCTTTTTTAAAGAGTGAGAAACTAATATGCTGCAACCCTAACCATTTAACAATGTGCTTGAAACCCACAGGTATCTTGGAGACATCCTTAGAAAATAAAATGGAGGATAATTGAAACCCAGTGCTTTATATATTGGTATATCAGTGTTTGTAGGAAGCAATCCCTACTTCCTGCTATAAGCATAGAGGATGCCTTAGTTTGTTTCTGCATAAAGGGCAAATACATTCTTTGAAAAAGTTTAGCCCCACCTCTTGTGCTTTTGAAAATTAAGGGCTGATATTGAACTGGATGGGTCAGAAGACACAAAGCAAGTTATTTCCTATAATCCTGTAGAGTTCACCAGTTCACAAAGATAAAGAGTCCACTTTATATTTAAATCCTATCAAATATGCAGTTTCCTAACCCTTTAAGAATACATACACGTGTCGTCTGCCTAAATAGAGGAAAGCAAAGGGTCCCTAACTATAACCTGCCTAATCATCTTCTATTCCATTCAAACTACGTTAAAGGATTTACTTTTAGGAAAAAAACAAAAAACCCGACAATGGCTATGCTTAGGCAACACTGTAACCTGTATTGAACCATGGTTTCTCAACCTAATTTTTTGGGCTCTTACCACGTACTATACCAGGGGTCCCCAAACTTGGCAGCTTTTAAGACTTGTGGACTTCAACTCCCAGAATCCTCCAACCAGCAATAGCTCTGGGAGTTGAAGTCCACAAGTCTTAAAGTTGCCAAGTTTGAAGATCTCTGTACTAGACTATAAGCTAATAGTGTGGGAAAGGCTTGTGTCACATGCCAAAGTATGGTTTTCCAATGCATAGTATAAACCAGAGGTCTTCAAACTTGGCAGCTTTAAGACTTGTGGACTTCAACTCCCAGAATCCACAGCTGGCTGGAGAATTCTGGGAGTTGAAGTTCACAAGTCTTAAAGCTGCCAAGTTTGAAGACCCCTAGTATAAACAAAGCTGGGGAGGGGGGGGTTTATATTCAAGATAAGATTGAGTTAGGGGTCTGAAAGGAAGTTTTAAGTCCAACAAGTAATGGAAGATTCATTGCTGGTCAATTGCTTCTGAAAAGTGATAATTTGCAGTTTCACCCAATAATTTTGTGAGTTTGGCTATAGAGGGAAGCTTACTACGCAGCTGAAAAGGAATCCGACCCCCATACTCAGCCAGCTCAAACCCCACATCAAAACCGTCATACTAATGCAGGCTTCCTTAATAAGAACTGGAATTTTTTTAAAAAAAAACAACGAAGCACGTTTTTTTGGTGGAGAGAATCTGGGTTTTCCAACCTCTTGAACGGGATACTTCTGGTTTAACTTCAAAAAAAAAAAAAAAGGACGAAAGCAACCAGAAGCTACACTATTTTCCCCCCTTGTCCTACCAGAACGCCGTGCAAACCCGTAACACACACCCTTCTCCGTCCCATTTGGAACCAGAAGTTTGTACTTCTCCTCTACGAGACGCTAATTCTGCCGTTCACGACGCCGCTGCTGCTGCTGCTCTCAACGGAAAAACCCAAAATCAAACAACGGGCTGCGAAAGCCCTCCAATCAGGAGAAAGGAAATAAACGAGGGCCCGATATTTTGGCCAATCACAACTCTCTACTCATCACGGCTTGTGTACTACACCTCTGCCGGTACAATAATGAAGGCTAAAGAGTAATTAGAGTCGATACACGTGTGAAGAATTTCCTTGGGTCGTTTTGGCAACGGGATGAAAGTCCTAAACCGATTGGATGAACGGAAAACACGGATGGTTTTAGTGCAGTCCACATAGCCGAGAACACGAGGTCTCCTTAAGGCTGTCTAGCATTTCCATTCCTCTTCTAGTAAATAATTCGTGTATTGCTTATTTCCTGAAAAAGACCCTTATTCACGTTATTGCACTAACAAAAAGCTTGTGGCACAATATTATCTAAAGATAAGCAACAGTGGACTATCCACAAATTGCTTTTTATCCTGTGATTTAGGAGCACTAAATAGAATTTAATATTGTATTTACGTGCAGAAGTTAAATTCTTCCTGGTGCAGGATAAGATTAAAACCGTTTTAAAATACTAAATTATGAGATATATTGTGTTATTTTAATATTACTAGTTATCATAGTTTATTTTCATGTGGGAATTCCTTGATCAGAATTGACATTTATATAATAACACAGTTGGAATGGACCTTGGAGGTCATCTAGTCCAACCCCCTGCTCACGCAGGAGACTGCTGTACTGATGACCTTTCTGATCAACAAGCTCAGTGACTGAGCCACCTAGACAGGCTCAATTATAATATAATTACATGTATTTCCAGGACTCCACCAAAACATAATTGAGAAATAATATGTACCAGTTCATGAGTTTGACAAATTTAGTATAGTTTAACCCTTTTGATTAAAAATAGAGATTAACAACCACTGGGCAGGCATGTGCATGTGCATATGAAATCTTGTAAGTTGTGTAACCATCCATCTTTGAACACATTAACCAATTAGTGTCCTAAACAGGTTTGGCAAATTGGCAACAGGTTAAGTAGTCAAGGTTAATTGTAACTAAAGATTTTTAGCAATTATGTTAGTAGCATTACTTGTCCTATAAAACAGAACAATTCGGTATATTTATTAAGTCTAAGCAGATTTTATTATTCCATATTTATTACCTACATTTTAGATTTTGTAATTGGTATTTTATTATTTCTACTTTGTGATATTGTAATATTACTATTTTTCTACTAATTGTTCTATAAGCAATGTTGGAAGGCAGTTTATAAATCCTTAAATAAATTTTAATAGCCATGTAGAAAAGATTTTTATTTCATTGCCCAAAGCAAAATTGTAGTACTATGGAATGAACCCTTCCTGGAAGTGATACCAGCTTTCAGAAGAAAGGCATGATTTCTGGCAATTTAATTATTAACTTAGCCAGATTTTCTTAGTAAGAAAAAGTATAACAATAAATGGAACAATCAGCTGCTTGAAAATCTCCCTTTATTTTTGTTTAAGAAATGAAAGTCATTGTAATATCCCCATTCCATCTTTGTTTGAAGCTGACATGAAATGGCAGGAAATTTTAGGCTTTGTTTCACGGATTTAAAGATTACTTCAGGAAAGCACCTCAAGTGTTTTACATTATTTGAAACAATGGTACCCCTTCCTGATTTGAAGGCACTCAACATAAGAATGAATTTGGCATTTCTCCCTCAAAGAATCCTTTTCAGGATAGAAATGAATGAAATCTCCTTTGACTGAAGCTCAACTCCTTCATGGACGCATCTATACAGATTTTGGGGCAAAGATATAAAAGGGTTTGCCTTTGTTTCTGTTGTTTTCCTTCCCTGGTGTAGCCTGCAGTCCTTGTGGTCTTCCAACGAAGTACTGACCAAAATCTTTTTCTCACATGCAAGTCAATGGCATTTTTCCCCTTGTGTCTGCACAATGTTCTCTTACCATGAGTAATATAGAGAAAAGTAATCCTTGGTTGTCTTTTAAGGTTACAAGAAGTAACATTTCCCCGTTATTCCAACACAGTTGAGGATGTCCAAGAGGTGTATACAATCATCCATGACCTTGAAGAGCCGTCAGGTGACTGGCAGCGACTTGGAACAGAGGCAGGATAGAGATCAGCTAACAGGGGCACCAATTTCACGCTAGTGTGGTTTTCTGCTATTTAAGATGCTGGTAAATAGTATTGCCATTACAATAACCATATTTTCTTGGGGAGAAAAACAAAGCACAAATCTGAAGGGTTCATAAACATAAATATATTTTAAAAAATAAAGGGCAAATTTGAAAGGGGTTCATCAGACGTAGTTTTTTTTCCCACACTTGGGTTTACAAAGGAAAAACCAAGACAACTGTATTGAACAAATCTGCACTGTATTGTGAAATAAAGGACCATAATTTATAACGAATGTCGTTTATAATGTCATTTTATAATATAATGTAACTACAACTGAACAGCAGCTAGAAGGCGGCCCAGGTCTGGGCCCTACTTTTTGAGCCACCAAAAGAAAACAGGTGAGCCACAGGCGCCCCATTTTTTTTCAGCAAAAGAGAGGAAAACAAAGGTAACCATTCCAAGATACAATTAACCAATTATCTTGCACGAATATTCTCTTCAGCTGTGGAAGTTGTTTTAGGGCTTGAAGTTCCAAGATGCTGAGGGAATGCTAATTACAGTTTTGTAGAAAAAGAAAAAGGGAAAAAAAACAAAAACACACCCTCTTCTCTCGGGGACCCGACAACAGAAGATCTCCCGAGGAAGTTCGTTGAGGGACTGTGAGGGGAGGGGGGGGGCAGGGCGCTGAGGTGGCCGTGTTTTTTTATGGGGGTTGGGGGGAAGAAGGGGCGGACGGTTACTGTGGAGACAGGGTGGGCGGGGCCTATGGGGGACTTCAGTACTGTACTTGGCGAGGCTGGTGAGACTTGTAAGTGGGCGGAGTCTGGCTTTTCTCTTTGTCGGCCGGACGGGAGAGGAATGCGAGGCTTAACTGACGGGATAGTCTTGTGAGAGAGGAGCGCGCGACGGCCAGCTCGCGGCCTGCAAGGATTGCACGGAAAGGGGCGGGGCAGAATCTATTCACAGAGCCCGAAAGGCGGGGGAGGGGGAAAACGAGCTTTCGGCACCGGAAGTTCTTGTGGTAGAACGGACTCCGCCGAAAGAAAGACCTGCGCGCACGCATACATACTCTTTCTCCCCCCCCTCCTCACTACTTACTCCCACACCCACCCTCGCTTGCTCGCTCTGCGACTAAGTCCTCTCAGCGCCCTCGGCTCTCTTCTTAGCGTTTTGCCGGGGCTCCCCCCTCAGTTTCGTCGGACGAGGCGCTAAAGCGAATAACGCCGAGCGAGAGAAGCGCTTCAAGACCGAGAGCGGTTAAAAACAACAACAACAGAGCCGGGACTATCTATCTATCTCTATTTTAAAACAAGATCAGCGGAAGGATATGATTTAGTCGCTTCCGCGAGAAACGTAGGGGGGGGGGATTTAACTGAGACGCGTCACTTCCGCTGAGCCTCAAGAAGGGGAGGAAAAGGAAAAGGAGAAAAAAAAAACATACACACACGCAAAGCAGCACAAATCCTTGCGAAGGGGGGGGGGCGAACAAAAACAAACGGGGGGAGGGAGAAAGAGAGAGAGGCCTGAACCGGCCTTGAGGGAACTGCGGCCTCGCCTTCGAAGGACTCCTCTGCTCGTCGGCCGGAATCGCCTTTGCTCCTCGCTGGGTACCGGGATGTCCCTCCGCCCCCTGGTCCATCTTTGAGCGGTTTCGCCTTCTCCTTCCCCTCCTCCGCTCGGCTCCGCTCCCCGCCAGCCGAGCTCCTTTCTCGTCCGGGTCCTGAGGCAGCGGCGGCAGGGACGACGGCGCCGACGCCATGTCGGGGGACGACGACGGCCTCGATGGGCCGCACTACGTGGCGGAATTCGTGCCTCCGCCCGAGTGCCCCGTCTTCGAGCCCAGCTGGGAGGAGTTCAGCAACCCCCTCGGCTTCATCGGCCGCATCCGACCCTTGGCTGAGAAAACGGGCATCTGCAAGATCAGGCCGCCTAAGGTACCGCCGGGCCGAGGGAGGGAAGGATGGAGGAGAAGGTCTCCGGGTATCTATCCTCGGTCTTCGCTCTTTGAAGAAGTTGCTTCCCCCTTCTCTCTCCCCCGCTTCCCCCAATGGCCGCCCGCCGGCTCTCCCCCTTTTGAATTCGGATGAGGCTGAGGGAAAGCAGCCCGGGCCTTTTTCTTCTTCTTCTTCTTCTTCTCCTCGAGGGGGTTTTTCTTCGGACTTTTTCCGAAGGTCTTTGATCTTTTGCAGCAATGGCGTCTCTTGTCACGATGGGCCGACGCCGAAAGAAGGGGAAGAAAAAAAACCCCCCACAACCACCACCACCACCCCTCTGTTGATTCAGGGTTAACTTTGCTTTACAAGCCCCGCTAATAATAAGCCGCCTTTTGAAACGTTTTTCGGAGAAGCGAGAACGAAGGGACGATATAAGGGTTCAGGCAGGCGAAGGAGGCTAAATTCTTACTCCCGGGGAAGGAGAGAGAAAGGGAGCTCCTAATGGGTGATGTTTAAAATACCTTCTCTGGTGATCAAGTCTAGCCAGATGGCTTAAATTTATCGGGAGGGGAAGGGAGGGATTTTGACTTGTGTTGCTCTGATGAAGTGGTTGTGGGTGAGCTAAATTCTGACAATTCCGGGGTAGAAAGCTCTGGCTTTTTAAAAACTCGATCCTGGCCTCCATGAAAAAAAAAAAACGCATTTTGTCTCTTGTATAGCCCTGGGTTCTCCATGGAAATAATTTTCTCTTTGTATCTCTTTGTCTAGAACTACATAGTCCCTATTGTACTGTGTCGTGTACAGCCCCAGTAGCTTTCTCTGTATGTGTCTCTATCTCTCTACTGGTTTTCTTGGTTGTAAATATTTAAAAAATACTCCCGGTTCTTTTTCTACTCTATGTTTAAAGAGCTCTTGTAGGTTAAACCATCGTGTTAATTTGAAGAAAATCT